CCCTAAATTTAACTACACTAAGGGCTTGTTTGCAATCACTTAAGAAAAGTTATTTTGGTTTTTTTTAAGAAAAAACACTAATTTTATCAAACACTACGAACTTTTATTTTCTCGGCTTCCGTGTAGAATCTACTTTTTAATTTTTCTATTACACAAAAAATACTTATTTTACCAAACACTACCAACTTTTACTACTAATCATTTTTTCCCAAAAAGTGCTTTTTTTAAGCACAAGTGGTTGCAAGCAAAACCTAACTTTTTACACAATTACATCTAACCTTTTCCGTCCGTCTAACTTTTTGCGTTCTACTGGTACTTCTATTACAATTACATCAATGGATTCAGCAAGGGCATCTTAAAAGGGAAAACATAAACTAAAAGTCTAAAATTAGACGATTGGAATATAAACAGAGGCGTGTAAATGAAGATGCATAAACGCTTACTTGGAGTGATCTTAGAACAGCAGGATCAACGGTGGAAGGGTCCATGGCGTAATCGGCGGCTGAGTGACTGCAACTTGTGGAAACTGGAAAGGGGGTTTTGTGTGCGAAGGAGACGGGCGTAGATAAACCCTTGGTCAAGTAACAGACTCAGAGGAAACAGACACTCAACGGGCTTGCTGGATTAAGTGAAGGAAACCCAACCGTCAACAAACCCAAGCCCATTACATACTTGACAAGTCGCTAAGATCATCTCCTCCCATGCAACGTGTTGCATACGTGGTACGAGAGATTACACAAAATATTTAAAATATGGTATATTTTATGATACTCAAAAGGTACCATACCTTTGTCCACTTGAACCAATCAAAATGTTGCAGTTGAATTATTTAAATCTAAATTAAAAATGATTTAATGATTTAGACCAATCATGTGAGTGGTAAGTACCGTACCCCATTTTTTAAATGAGTACCGGAGTTGTCACCTTAAAATATTAAGGTGATATTTATGAAGTTTTGGCTGAAGCACCCGCATCGGTTGATTCTGTTGATTTAAGAAAAAATATTTTTACAATATATTTTATTAATAGAATAAAAATAAAAATTATATGTAAAAATAGTTAAAATGATCATCTACAATAACTTCAGTCAATATAGTCAGAAAAGTAATTTCAACATTATTTTTTTTTGCTTCTTACACTATTCAGCGCGTGAAAGCAAAAGTTACGTGTTTGGTGAAAAAGTTGGGTGCCAAACCTGATGAGCCAAAAAATAGTGTTGCCAAACGACCTCTAATTTAATGACATGTCTATTTTTTTTTGTCATGATCTTCTATATTCTTATCAACAATCAGTTCCCAAACATTGCCAATCAAGATGCACTCTTTCATATAAATAACTATTCTGTGCAATACAAATTGACATTATCTGCCTTCAGTGCCGATCCTACCAAAACTCGGGCCTGAGTCGAACTTAATAAAAGGCCCTATACATTATTTATTTTTTTACTATAATTTTCTTTGAAATTGAAGATTATACATCATAAAAACGACTAATTAAATACAAAAATACATTAATGTCAAAGTATTCAAATGACTAATTAAGTACAACTTGCCAGAGAGTTTTAGCTAGCAAAAGTATTAATTAACTCGACATTCTAGATGTTCAATAAATTCCTTCTAAACGGATATTTGGTAGGCTATAAATCCTTTTATGGCTTTAAATAGAAAAATATTAGAAATTTAGAAGCTAAGCAAACAGGATGAAAGATTAACCTTGATGTTGATTGATTAAGTCTATAGATTGGAACAAGGGAATCGCAAATTAACCTTAGCTAAGGCCCTGTTGTCGATCGATTAGTCTATGCCAGAACAAAGGAATCGCAAATCGCCTTAAACCCCTTTTCCATTTGTATGCTGATGGCTATTCCGCTTCTAAACTGGTCGAACAAAAGTAATTGAGGGACTTTTGGGTTTTCCTTTTTGAAGTACAACAGCGGAGTCAGCGGACAAAGGTTGGGCAATGTTGGGAAATGGTTTTAATTCAAATAAATGTGGGAAACTAAAGAGTTTCTGAAATACATGAAAAGACTTTCCAAAAAGTTGTATCTTTAATGTTCTAATTAAATGATGTTTCAATGCCTACTATATATAAAGGCATCCTCCGGTAATTCAAAAGCAGAGTTCCTGGATAGAATATGATTCCCTTCTCATATATCGGCACATAGTGTGTGTGAGTGTGATCTGATATCTCCAGGTTCTTTCTAACTGGTGCTCTAACAGGCAAAAAGGAAGCCCAATATGTAAATTTAATACATATATATAATAAAAAAATATCTAAAATTGTGGGCCCTAAAATTTTAACAATTTTTTGGACCCTGAGGCAATAGCCTCATCTGCCTCAAGCACCGCACGGCTCTGTCTGCCTTATGGCAGAGTACCTTACTTACATGGAGGGCAACAAATAAAATTTTGGCCTCCAAATTTGTGTAAAAATGAACCAAATATCTTATATCATTCATTTTTTTATCTGATGGCTTCAAATTGCCAGTCACCCTCCTTGCCTACCAAAGCAAGGCAGAAGAGCTGTATCCATATAATACAATGTAAAAGTATTAGTACTGGTATTAATGAACTGAAACTCGTAAATATTTTATCTTGGTGTTATAATTATCGGTTGAAGTATTTACATTAATGTTGATTTTGGAGGAGTGTCTTCTAGAGACATTTTGATTTATGAAGTATATACTATGAAAATGAGACAAAAGGGCAAGGTATCCATTATAAATTTAATTACTTTGATAAAATTGACAATTCGAATACAAAGAACGAAGCGAGTATGAATACACTACGAGTAAAGCAAAATTCTATCATTAAATGAATACTAAATACTACCTCCGTTCTTAAATAAATGCAACATACAAATTTTACACTATTCACATGTTCTACTTTGACTACATTTTATTTTTTGATGTATTAATATATATTAATACATATTTTTTAGACAAATATTACTAAATTTGTCTCATTGTAAAATTTCAAAATCTGATTTTTTTTTAAATTTTTTTTACTAATAGAGAGTTATGTATATTAATGGTCAAAGTAGTGCCTCGGCAAATGTGAAATGTTGACTGTTGCACTTATTTAAGAACGGCAGAAGTATTAGGTAACTTGTGCGAATATGAAGAGTAATGTCAAATATTCATCTCAGCTTTGCTTACAACCCCAATCTCCCTTGTATGACTATAGACCCATATATAAAAATAAAATGCTAAAGGGTCAAATATGTACATGAACTAACTTAAAGTGTTCAATTAGCCCCTTATATAGGAGGTTCTGCCCGGCCGTCGCATATTGGGGCGGTTCCCGGTAGAATTTTTTGATGAAATTTTTTGAGCATGTTCTTCATTAAGTCTAGTTTACCCATACCAAATTTTAGCTAAAAATTAAATCAAGAAGGCAGTCAAATGATTTTCCGAAATGTACTGCGCTGTTTAACTGCACAGTTATCTTCAAAAAATCATTTGACTGCCTTCTTGATTTAATTTTTAGCTAAAATTTGGTATGGGTAAACTAGACTTAATGAAGAACATGCTCAAAAAATTTCATCAAAAAATTCTACCGGGAACCGCCCCAATATGCGACGGCCGGGCAGAACCTCCTATATAAGGGGCTAATTGAACACTTTAAGTTAGTTCATGTACATATTTGACCCTTTAGCCAAAATAAAATAGACACTTTCAACTATTCTGCCTCATAAGCAGCAATGCTTTATTTTCATATGAATAGGAGATGAATTTAGTGTAATCGTTTGAGGTAGGAAATTATTCGCATTAGCATTACAATAACATACAATTATATTCATTACAAGTAAATGCAAGGTATCATGTTTCTTTTCGTTGAATTTGAGTACAGAAGTATAATAAAATAATAATGATAAAATCCTACTTGTATCTTAATAGGCATTGCTTGTTGGACATTTATTGTTTGGCATGTTTTTACTTGGCGTTTCGGTCAAAGAAGAAAACATTATAAAAAACGATCATTCCTGTACCTAACGACCACAGAGCAGAAGATAAATTTCATTTTAGTGCGTATTAATATCATATATGCCTCATAAATGCTCTTTATTGTTGCATTCAGCATTTCCATTAATTTTCTCACAAAAAAATCATCAGGCGATATTATTCTCGTTGTCATGCTGCCTGGAATAAAAAAAGTCATTACTGACATACAAAGCCAGGAAATCTCAATCTAATGGACACCAAGTTGGGCACCCAACTGGGTACCAAAAAACAAACAATAGTCAAGATAGCCAGCCATACAGCACTGGATCAAAGTAAAAGGTTCACCCTTTCAGTCTTTCACTAGGGCTTGGAAACGGTCCCAGTTTTCTACCAAGCTGTTTTTTGGGGTCCAGAACCAATTCTCCGGCTGTGGTTATCCGGTCTGAACCAGAACAGATGCCACAAACAAGTCCATATCCAGTTCAGTTTCGGTACCGTTTTTATAAGTTACAAAATCGGGTAGGAATCCAACAAATCCGGAATGGTCTGTTTACCTGAGCTTGAACAGAACTAGTATTACCAATTCCAGTTACAATTCCTACACCTTAAACATCACATCTCATTGGAATCATCATAGTTCATAAAACTAAATAAAATGAAACTATAAAAGATCATCATAATCACAATTGACCGAATTAATTTTATTAAATCACACAAAAGTGACAAAACTTGCAATGGAGCCAAAGATTCATTATTTTTTGGCTTGAGAATATGATGGAATAAAGCAAAATGGCTCACTAAACTGTCTGCGCTTCTTTGTTATGAAGCAACAGTCAGTCCATGCAATTTTGGACGCGATTTTCACTATGGGTCATCCGGAAACAGTCTCTCTCTGCTTTAGTACAGGGGTAAGACTGCGTACATCCGACCCCCCTTACCCCACCGTAGGTGGGAGCCTTTGCGGCACTGGGGTAAATGAAAATGAATGAATGACACAAAAGTGACAAAACAAACACAACTTTATTGGGGCATAGTAAAAATCCTCCATTCTGTATAGGAAAGTTCTACAATTATACTCTGTATGATTTGATATATGAGAAACTAGACAAAATGAGTATAATAGCAAGAATATAGATATTGAGAAAACATTACAGTATAAACTCGTATACATTTGATGTTAAAAATGCAGTCAGTAAGAATACATATTGATTTACCAAGACTAATCACACTTCGAGGATTATAGATTCTGTCATAGAAAATAAATAAATAAAATAAGATTTACACACCATATAACATTTGAAAATTACCTCAGCAAATTGTAAGCGGTTGTGACTCAATTCTTCATATTTCTTTTTGCTCTCAAAAGCTCATTATGTTGTTAGCAGTTTCCCAGTTGACAGAGCATGTCCACCATTGCTGTAATTTGAGCACCCAATTTCAGTTGCCAACGCAACAATGTCAGGCGGAAGATCCATGCTCCGGCTTTTCCGCCCCCAAGTAGAGTTCATAGGATTTACTATGCTCCGGCTAAGCTCTCCTGATGGAGGAGATGAATGTGTGTTGTTCATTTTATCTAGAAGATTGTCATTTCTACTTGGCAGCCCTTCCCATTCAGAGCTGCTTCTCATAGGATCATCATCATAAACCGGTTTCCTTCCCATTTCTAGTTCCGTTTTATCCAAATTTGGACTGTAACTATCACCAGCCCCTACTATTCGAGGTTGTATCTCAGGCTCTCTTTGAACCTTTGCTCTGAAATTGTTCTTTGAAGGAGGAATACTCTTGCAGAATATCTCCGTTACGTTTTGAATTATCCCCTTGTTGAATGGGTTGACTCGTTGATCGTACCGATACCTAAAGTTCTCGTATGTTGACTGCAGTCATATATATGGCTCAAATGTCATCAAACATGCCATAAGGCTCATTAACATTAACAAAGAAATCAAAAGATGCTTTTAGACCACAACACTCAGCTTTAGACTGCTGTGGTTTTTAAGTTGCTACTTGCTAATAGTATCTAATCGTGGTTTTAAGCTGCTACTAGAATCTAACTATGGCTTTCAATTGAAACTACAAGACTCTTATTTTACCAAGAGTATTTAAGAGCTAAAGAATACCAGACTCTAGGTCACATAGTTAAAACACAAGAGAGGGAAAAAATCAAACCTGGTTTGTGCTGATGAGGTAAATATGGAAGACTGAAAGGCCACCAACAAACCAGGTTGATAAGAAAGTATAAATAATGAGCGCAATTGAGGCTGGAGTCTTGCACATTGCTTTCCAAATGGTAGTCTCCTCACTATCCATAATCCTTCTAATATAGACCCAGCAAAATGCATGCACATACAAGCAGAGGAGCGTTGACGAGAAAATAAACATAAAGAAGAAGCGATAGTTCCTCTGCAATGTGCACCAGAACTTAATCAAGTCAAGAGGTGAAGGGCATTAAGCATGTAAATTATAAAAGCTTCAAAGCTTCATCATAAAATCAAGTCACTCACTTCTTCCACGCATGTGTAACCATTAAACTTGAGCCATGAATTGGTTTTGAAGCTTTATTAATGTTTCTTTTCACATAAAAAACCAGTGCAACATTTAAATGTCCAATTGTGGCATCTAACATTCAAATGTTTTGGGATGAGTTAGACCGAACTTGTCATGATATAAAAAATCTGGTCAAGTAGTGGTTTGAAGGTCATTCGTCCATTCGATGATTTGGACAGCCCATTTTATGGTCAACTTGTGCCCAATTGACCATCCTGTCACTTGTTCAGCTCAAGCATCTTGGGCTAAGAGGACGTATTTAGTGGGGTGAATTGAGCATCCACATTAGTTTTCTACTCAGTTTGAGTCTAGTATAAAAGTGTGAGGTAAAATCTACCTCTTGAGGCACATCTAATCTGTGCCCAGCCATATGCGCATAAGGCGTAAGCCCTGTACAGGGCGCACGCGTTTCACAACAATTTACACAACTCAAAGATATACTTACCACACCAATACATTGTCCAACCCAAGGGCAATGATGATCGAACCGTTCCACACAGTTATTGCAAATTGAGCAGTGGGAGCAGCGTGGAGGTCTATAGAGCATGCAAGTGTCACAGTATTTGACTTTCACTGTTATTCCATTGACATCAACATCCTTCACACGTGGCAGACGTAATTGCGGGGTCTGTCCAGGCCCAGCTTGTGCATTCCCTTCAAAGTTTTCTGGTTCAGGGGGGTTGAGATTGCGAGGAACAATGCCAGGGTCTCTTGCAGAAGTCAACAGGAGGAGGACCAAGTCCTTGAACAAAACCAAATAAATCGAAAGCTTAGCTTTTACTTTTGAAGATATGAGCTTAGTTCCGCTTTACAATTAGCAGCGGATAACAAACAATATGGGTTGTATTACCAATGTTCTATTTGTTTTCAGCAAGAGTTCAGAAGCAGTAATTAGTCTTTGTAATGTTCTTGAAAATTGTAGAAAAAACATAATTAAACTCCATCTAACAATGTAACTATGTAAGTAGATTTTAATGAAGAACATTAATGAAACAAAAGAAAGGCATGAAAGAACCATGGCGCTATTTGAAAGGTGAACAACTATGTGGTAATTTGTAATGTGACTTTAGGTTTCTTCTTCACACTACATATAATTTAAGTAAGGTCCAACGTGGGCTAGCTGAATCAACTCAGCAAGTTTGGGGCAGAGTTAGAAGAAAATTGCTATCCTTTTCAGCAGTTCCATAGCTGTGAAACTTGTACTTCCATGAGCAATATTTCTGAGGAGGTAATAGACAAATCCACTTGAGTTAGTTGGATTTGCAATTTCTATGATGATCATGATGCATCACCAGAGAAATAAGTCTTGTGAATTGTGATGATTATGGATTTGATCTCTTGTACAGTTGTACTACATAGTGATCATAGAGTCTTAAGTATCACCATAATTGCCCACTGGTTGCCGGAACTAAAGTTGAATAGTTTGGTTGAAAATCATGTAGACTATGCCAATTTAACCTACTTCAAAATTTAAATTTCAGTATGAGACCTTCCAGAATGCGATTTATCTCTTTTCCTCAGATAGAGGTTTCTCACTAAATATTGATCTACTAAAAAAGTGAAGTATAATAGTAACTTAAGTTCAAATCTGTATCATAATAGCAGAGGTCAGTTAAGTGAAGGAGTCATAAAAATAATTGACAGTTAGTTCAATTATCTACCAAAGCTTTGTGGTTGTCATTTGGTTAGTGATGATAAGCATTAAGCAGTAAGTTTTGTGATAGGGAAATGTGCCACCAAGTCCATTTATTTTAGTTAGCAGAAGAAAATTAGGTACTTACATAGACTGTGAAGAGAACAGCCACAACTGTAATGGATACCCCCCAGTGATCAGGAAAGTCATCCATCAACTTTCTGCCTATATAGATACAGAATACTGCAACAGGTGCAACTATGAGGAATATGGTAAAAAAAAGCGATCTACCATCCGGTCCAAAGATGAGCCTCCCTTCAAGGCAAAATTTCTGCATATATATCCATTGAAAATGAAACGCGTATATGTAAATAATAACAGCAGCATCAAGAGAAAAATGAATTGTAAATTTTTCTTAGAAAAATAACTCTTAGAAGTACCACCATTAAATTACTTTCTGTTAGGCTAAAACATTGGTCAAATATAAAAATACAACTCATATATAAAGCATAGAGCTACTCCTCCTACAGGTTAGACATTTTAAGCTTGAACTTCAAATATTAGTACTTTGTATATTAAGCATACTTCTCCTTTCAGGTTAAACATTTTTAAATGAAACATCAAGTCTTGGGTAAGTAAAGGTAAAGAACTATGAGAAATCAGAGCCAATCACAAATTCCTTGAGATAACACTATTCAACAAAAGGAATTCAGTATGAGAATAAAACCAGTTGGGCAAAAAAAGAAACTTCATTAACACATGACTCTAGTTATCACTATCCTACTATTATACTGTTAATTGCAAAGCCAAATACACTTAACATATACGTTTATCAAAATTAACTACCAATAGATGGTGAGTGACATCAAGTCATCAATATTCAATCATAAGATTGTAAAGGATAACTTTTTCAAAGTCATGATAGATGCCCTACTCAAACTAGCTAACAATAATGATCATTCACGATAACATCAAGAAAAACACGAGAACTAAGCAAATCGGAAACTTACGTTGCTGCCTTTCCAGGCCTGGTAGGTCCGGATCACATCGGGAGCACCGCCAGCAGAAACAGAATTCATCGGCGGAGCAACCGCATACAATTTCAATTTCTTTAAGGGAATAGGTAGAATTCAGGAGTTGATTGAATGGCGGGGATTCAAATGGGAAGACTTCAACAAGTAGAAACTGGAAAGGTCAAACGGTGATTAGAACTCGAATGGGGAAAAGGCGGCTGCCTCATTACCATTTACTACTGCGGAGTATTCCCGTTACTCTCTCTCCCCTTGTTCCTGTGAAAATTTCTTTATTATGCTTGTTTTCGGTCAAGGCCATGTTTGGAAAAGGAATCGTTTTTACGGAGCAAGAAGAATGTTTTTTTTTTAAATTATTGAACTTTAGAGAAAAAGAATAGAAAAATATCAATTATCAATTTTCTCAAAATAATCCTCATTATTGAAAAAAATCTCAAAATATTTCAGTGACTTATATGAACTCGTAAATGACGTATAACATTTATGAATCATTAGGACATTTTGAGATTTGTTTCAATAATTAGGATTATTTAGATATAATTGATATTTTGGATTATTTTAAGCGCATCACCAATAGTTGAGATTATTATTAATTTGTTATCCATTTTCCTTAACTTTATTAACTTTATTACTACCCTGAATCAGAAGGTCTCTGATTCAAAGTGGTGGCATATCATATCAAAAGCAATCAAGCTCTAAAATAGCTTGCGTAGCTAACACGCGAGAAATCTTATTAGTGATACGACATCTAATATGATGGTGGGGAAAACTGTCAAATAGGTCCTCGAACTTTCATAAAAAAGTTAATTAAGTCCTTCTATAGGAGATTCTGTCCGATTATCGTGATTTGGGGTGGTTCCCGGTGGAATTTTTTGATAAAATTTTTTGAGCATCTTATTCATCAAGTCTAGTTTACTCATACAAGATTTCAGCTAAAAATTTAATCGAGAGCGCATTCAAATTAATTCGAGAACGCAAAAATGCGCAGTTATCTTCAAGAATGAAGAAGGCGAAAAGAAAGAAAAGGGAAAGAAGATGGGGGCTGAACTACTGGGCAAGAATGAAGGGAGGAGGATGTTGGGTAAGGATGTGGGTTAGAAGCAGTAGGGAAGAAGAAGAGAGGATAAGTTGCAGGGAGAAGAAGGGGAAAAAGGAAAAAAAAGGAATGAAGAAGGGGGAGTTGCAGAGCCTAGAGTCGGTAGGGACGAACAGGAGAAAAAAATGAAGAAGACAGAAATAAAAAAGAAAAGGAAAAAAGAAAAAAAAACAGTACTCCGTACAAAATAGCCAAGTGGAATCTGCATCGGCAAATATAAGGGCCACCGGTCGTTTACCGGTTAAATGGTAAAATTGGTGAAAATTTGACATTTAATGGACTTAATTGATTGAAAAAATAGTAGATGAACTCAATTGACTTTTTCATAATAGTACGTAGACTGATTTGACAATTTTCCCTAATTATTATGATCAAGTCCATGTATTTATGTGTTTTTAAAGATAATCGCCTATATGGTAAAAAAAAATAATCGCCTATATTGACATCATTATAATTAAGATCGTTACATCAAACACATAAAAGCCATAACTAAATGATCAGGTTAAACTTGCAAGTATACAAATGCCGATATAGTAATAAAATACCGGTAAATACCGGGTCGATCCACGTGGAAATGGTTGATATTATAAAGTTTGAGTATTGAATACAAAGTGTAGAAATGATGTAATTTTCAGGATTTGTGCCTTTGATATTGGTTTAATCAAGAATGAAAATTACTAAGACAATCGGGATTTACCTAAATGCTTTAATGCATTAATAGGGTTTAGTACTAGTTTCTTTCCCAATAATTATGAATACGATGCCGCGATGCCGCTAATATATTCCCAATAATTACGATGACTTACATTCATCAACCGAAAACCCAGTTAAATATCAAGAGATCACACTTGTATCATCTAAGACCGGGTATATTTCTATTCTCGGTGCTATATATGTTTATCCTTTAATGTTCATAGTTTAGACCTCAACGTTAATTGCAAGCATAAACTAAATTTAACATAGTTCAGTGTTGTACGTCATAGTAAAAAAAATCAAAGTATAAAGGATAAATCACAATTTATTTGTTTAAAACTTTTATCAAACACCTAGTCGGCATAGAGATTCATCCATAGCCGTAGCTAATAAATTAGCCTCTAATGCTCATATTAATCACAATACAGCAATTAAATATAATGAAATATGAAATTACAAAGGAAATAAACCTAAACACCAATGATTTAGAAGGACAATCTTCCCTCCTCAAGAACTTGAAGAAAATACCAAGAACAAAAATATAACAACTATGAATTGAGCTTATGGAATGGGTGATGATTAAGGGATGTAAGTGGGGTTTATATAGGCTAAAGATTGACATCCTTTAGTCTATTCACTTTAAAAGATCGGATCAAATGAAATTTTTTAACTCTCAATGCAACCTCCAAATTTTCACATCTTTTCTCAAATTTTTAGCATATTCTGTTTTTTTTTTTGCAGTAACCAGGCTGACCGCCACCGGTTAGTCAGCTGACCGATGCCGGTTGTATGGGGAAAACTGTCAAATAGGTCCTCGAACTTTCATAAAAAAGTCAATTAAGTCCTATAAGAGACTCTGTCCGGTCATCGCGATTTGGGGCGGTTTCCGGTGGAATTTTTTGATGAAATTTTTTGAGCATCTTATTCATCAAGTCTAGTTTACTCATACCAAATTTCAGCTAAAAATTTAATCGGAAGCGCATTCAAATTAATTCGAGAACGCAAAAATGCGCAGTTATTTTCAAGAATTAATTTGAATGTGTTCCGGATTGAATTTTTAGCTGAAATTTGGTATGAGTAAACTAGCCTTGGTGAATAAGATGCTCAAAAAATGTCATCAAAAAATTCCACCGGGAACTGCCCCAAATCGCGACGGCCGTACTGAACCTCCTATAAAAGGACTTAATTGATCTTTTTATGAAAGTTCGAGGACCTATTTGACAGTTTCCCCCAGTTGTATGTATTGTTAGCCGGTTACTTCAAACAACCGCCCCCAGGTGATTACAGACACTTTTTTTTTTTGCAAAATTCACATCCGACCGGCGCCGGTTGTAGATTGACCGGTTCCAGCCAACATATCTTTTTTTTTCGTTACGAATTGGACATGACACCTTCACTGAAGTTTTCTATCCACTAAAACTTGAATGAAGTGAATTGAATCGTCCAATAAAAAGTTATGGATAAAACAATGAGAGCTATGCATCGTGAAATCCCACCAGCAACATCTGACTTCATTGGTTGATTAGATCTTGATCCTTTCAAATTCTGGCGACGTCTTCACATCATTTGTAGATTATTGAGTTTTAATTCATATGAAATTTTAATCGAGTCGTTTGGAATTCTCTACAATAAGTTATACTCGAATCATGAGAAGATCATTATCGTCTTGGTCCAAAAAGTCGTTTCATCACAATGTTTTATGCTCTAGCTCTCATTCTGAAGGCATGCAGGCCCAATTTCCCTTCTTCTCTTCAACAAATACTTATAAATACTTATGTAAACATAAGTAAATATAATGACGACTATCACTAACTCCAACTATCCTTCTTCAGTTACGATTGTTAGCATTTCAATTAAACATAGGGCCAGTCCTTCTTCAAGTCTAGAGAGGCTTGGGCCTCAGGACCCTAAAATATGAAAATATTAGGGGCCCAAAATTTTATATACATTTTCTTATACATATGTATTTGCTGGCATAAATTGTTCCCAACCCACTAAACCTCATGCGATGATTTGACGAAAGAACTCGAGCAATGCGATCTGTGAAGGAGTGAAGGACGACTAAGCCATCAGAAGGGTCATAGAGGTGTGACCATGTGAGTCCTTGTTCGTCAATCTAGCCGTTTGCCATCCTGCTCTCTGGCTTCTATGGCTCTGTGGCCTAGCCTTTGCTCACCAACGAACTGAACGAAGGAGGAAGTTTAGGCTTCTCGATTCTCTAGCTTCGTACGTAACCTTTTTTTATCCTTCTAGGTTATAGACTTCTAGCATCTATTTTTTGTTTTTTAAAATTTTTTATTGCTTCTTTAATTATTTATTTGTATTTTCATAAATTTTCAAACTTCATAAATACGCTTAACGAGAGCTGCCACATTAAAAACCTTGCTGAGAAAAAGTGTACAACACGTATTTACTCCCCCCTTGATGCATACATCATTCGAGATCCTTGCGCCGACGTAATCCAATTTGATGATATCCAGAAAGAGGGTAAGATTATTGTTCAACAAATTCATTCAAGTGACAATGTTGCAGACCTATTTACCAAAGCTTTGCTAACGATAACCTTCACAGCGCACCAAATTGGATTACGTCGATGCAAGGATCTCGAATGATGCATTTATCGGGGGGAGTAAATACACATTGTACTCTTTTCCCTTGCTAAGGTTTTATCCCATTGTATTCCACAAGGTTTTTCTCAACAAGGTTTTTAATGAGACAGTCAGACAACACTCATTAAGCGTATTTAAAGAGATATGTGCTCTTTTTCCTTCACTAGGTTTTTCTCCCACTAGGTTTTATATAGTGAGGTTTTAAAGAGGCAAATTCCTCAGTAGTGTACAATTAAGAAGGGGGAGTGTTATGTAATTTATAAATATGCACTACCCTATCTTAGTCCAAGCACATAATTATTAGGATCAAGTACATGTGTGTGTGTATATACATACCTACATACATACATACATACACACACACGCATGCACGCACGCATGCATGCATACATACATACATCCATACACGCACGCACGCATGCATGCATGCATACATACATACATACATACATACATGCATGCATGCATGCATGCATACATACATACATACATACATGCATACATACATGCATGCATACATACATACATGCATACATACATACATGCTTACATACATGCATAGATACATGCATACACACATGTTTTGGTTCAAATAAGAACATGATCTTAGGAGAGAAATGACAATGAATCTGAACCGTTAGATTAACTTTGAGTAAAATTCAATGTGCATTAGATGAAACTGTAATGTGCATTATGTGAAATTGAAATGTGCAGCACAAAGGGTATGACATTATGTGAAGCTGAATTATGCATTAGGTGGAATTGAAATTTGCACTAGGTGAAACTGAAATGTGCATGATAAAAGGTACAATGTGATGTTATTTTTGTACCTTTTATTTCGCACATTTTAGATTCACATATTGC